TCCATTTTCATCTATAAAAAAAACGGGTGATATAATAAATGATAATAATAATAAAAAAAATACATTTACAAAATTCACACATGTACTCGTATAATATGTATAGATTGCCTCCGTTGACAATGCACGCGCCTCCTTTAACTTTTTAATGTGTGTGACTATATAAAGAAGTGGTATTCTACTCGTATAAGTGTTTATGAGGAAACGTTTTCAATAACGGTGCGCGCAGAGGAGTATTTCCTTGGTCCGAAACCTTGTAAATATTTTTATTCACACATTTTTAATTCTTTAGATTTTGGAGGGGCGTACCATGTTATCGTAGACAACTTACACATATTGTTCTTTTATAGCACACAAGAAAAACAGTTCTTAATTCAAATTAGAAGAATCAGGGAATTTTTTAAACCGGTGTTAATTTAAAAAAAATAAAAAGTATGAACCCAAAGTCACCTTTGTTGATCGATTTCAGGCAAGTTTTTGACATTGGTTTCTCCTTAATTTTAAACTTATATATACAGAATTAACAAGCAAATAACTTCATATTTTTATAACGATAAAAGAAATGCCTGTAAGAAATGTTCAGGACCCAAATCCTTTTATGCCAACAGTGCCGGAAAAGGATTCAATTGGTTCACGCTCAATTGATCTTTGAATCCGTAGCAGAGTAGAGGTCGAACGATTACAATAAGCTCTGATATAAAAAATAGGTCATTTTGAGCAAATCTGAAATCCTATAGAACAAAAAAATAAAAACTCAAAATGAATAATTTTAAACTTTGAACACAGAGATTTTGTTTTCAGATTCTAATTCAATATAATTTTAAGTAGTCTTAAAAAATCCTTTAAATCAAAATATTTTTTAACTAGTATAGAACATTTTTGGCTTATACACTAGGTTTCCGTCGCGTTACTAGTGTTCAAATAAAAAAAAATATATATGATGCTATTAAATTTTAACTTCTCTAATAAAGTAAACATACTAGGCTTGTAGTATGCCACCGAAGTATATGACACACAATGTAACTATGTCATTAGATAACCCCGTTTGTTTGTCAATCGAAGGTTCGCATTAAACTAGAACTGACCAAATTAAGACACGGCACAAACCGTCGACAGCTTTACATTGACCGAGAATAATGACTTTGTTAGTTTCGAACGTTCTGATGGAATTTGAACAATAGCTGCATGCCGATTGGAATATTTTTTGCTATGGATTTAGTTCAGATGATAAAAAGTAGCAATTATGGCGACATAACTATTGCCATTCTAAAGTATAAAAATAATGTATAATTTATAATATTAATTTATATCTTACCTAAATTTTAGGTCAGGTACTTTAAAGTTGCGGTATCGACAATTTCATTCAAAGTTTCAAATAAGTATTTTCCACGATGTATAACTCCTTTAAAGACTTCGAAGGACAGAATTAATTTTTTTAATTGCAATTTGAAGAAAACTGGTTAAATTAATAAAATATTATATAACATATATGCTTTAAAAAATTAGAAATCAACTTCATTTATTAGTAGGCATTTTAATTAAAAACATATTAATTAAAATTGTTTTACGATTGACGAAGATATTACCACTGCTATTAATAAAGAATTTACAAACAATTGTTCACACATTAGTACGATATATACATTAAGTATGTACGTACATTATAATTATTACCAGTGTAATAAGATGCTAATTTGAAATGTAAATTCAATTTCAAGGATTGCTGAGGTGATGATGTTTGCACGCCAATTCTCGCAATATTTCGGATTTAAAGTAGCAACTGTTATAAAAAAATCCATAATATTATCGACACGTGAAGGGATAAAACAGCAATTTGGTGTTTGTAACACAATGCGTTTCATATAATCCATCATGAAATTGTGCCAGTCGGTGAAATGAACAGCCCTCGGCATGAGATGCCTATTAAAATTGGCTGTGTATTTAAAATACATCGTATTATGTTTCAAGTAAATCATCGATTTTAAACAAATGAATTATTTACATATTAATGAGGTCCAAGGCCTATACCCTACTAAACCTACCCTAGCAATATACCCTACCAGGTTGCCTCCTCACGGTCCAGCTTGGAAACCATCTTAGTTACTTCCTGATGAATTCATCTCGATGGGCTAACTGACCTGTTTACATGCTCATCTATTATCACTCACTTGTGCTCCGTCAGCGTATACCGATAGCGAAAGCCAGTTTATTTTCACCTATTTACAAAAAAAAAAAACTTTTGTTTTAATTATCCTACAGATAAGCGCAGTCATTGGTGACCGTCTTTATTCTTACTAATCATCCCTCACTGATGTGGTACCAGCGTATACCGATAACGGGATTACCATTCCATTATCATCCATTAAAAAACCCAGATTTGAAAAGGGTTTTGATATATTGTAGATAAAGAGAGAATAAATCAGTCAATTCATAATTTCATAATAAATATATAAATAAAGTACAAATAATATAAGTATATTAATAAAAAGTGCTATCTCAAAATATTGCATTAATTTTACATTGGCTATTTATTGTCCACTGTTGAACAGTCTTTATAGCTTTATATACTGCAACAAACCCACCGTGGGAAATTCTGAAATGTATGCTATATAATATTTATTTAAAATACGACGTTGCAGAGCTCGAGTTTAAGATTCAAAATCGATTGCGTATGTACCTTCGATTCTCTAATGAGCATTCGTGAGAATCTTCTAGAACCGACCTGTCTAGAATCAAAAGATTATAGATAAGTCAGAGATATACACGTATTATTTGGTTAATGAGAAAAACGGGAAAATGGGACAGATTTTTCATTCCCGTGGGTATCTTTATCAAACTTAGATCAGTCACATATGAAGATGGATGCAAAGGTTTTTTTCTTAAAATTAAAGTTTAAACTGAAAAAATAATATCTTAGAAAATTGGAGATTTCAATTCAAAGTCTAAAAACAACTTAAGTAACTAAAACTGATGTTCTGGTAAATGGATAACTATACTAAATATACCTCGGTAGATACGTTTTCGTTTGTCTACGCTTCTCATTTTACGAGTATTTCATGCATGCGGTAGCGATAGTGTAACTATCTATATGTTCGTTTGCCACCTGTCTAAAAGGGGTAATACGTAATGCATTATTTATTTTTACATATTTATATAAGTTATGGTCATGTGGTCCCGCCATAGATCAGGCCATCTCTTCTTTTTTCATGGGTGTCGTAAGAAGCGACTAAGGGAACTTAATGGTAGAGGGATAGGTAGCTCTGTCTGTTTAAAAAAAATTCTAAAAGCTAAACTGCGGTTGCCTATGCGTCTGCCAAGCGTGGCAACTACTAGCAAAAGTCCCCTTATGGGAAAGGCTTATGTTCAGCAGTGGACAGTTAACGGCTGAAATGATGATGATGATAGCTTTGGACTTAATGTCCAGAAAATAAATTTCAATTTTTCAATTATTCAGTATTTATTTTAAGGAAATTTCTTAATAATTGATACACGCGTTAGTAGTTTATAAGTCGATGTATTTTGTCCGATATAGGTACTATCTGTAGGGACTTTATTCCGCTTCTCTCTTGGGAGGTATGTGTCTACGCAAAGTTCCTTACTTTTTGTTAAAAAGAGAATTCCCAAGATCATGTATCAGACTATCAGACTTGGGCGATCTAACAACGCCTCTAATGAGGGTAGCGGCTCGAACATATTATGTAGCATAGGCTTTTAGGAAATTTTTATGTTATTTCGCTAATTGGAAACTATGCTCAAGGTACTAAAAAAATAAAATACAGTAGTATGTTTATTATAACCTTCCATTCCTATGGGTGTTATAAGAGGCGACTAAGAGAGAGCGAAGAATAGGTATCAGCAGCCCTCATAAAACATCTCTAAAGCCTGATTGAGGTTGCAAATCCGCCTGCCAAGCGTGGCAACTACTAGCAAAATCCCCTAAAGGGGAGGTTTAAGTTCAGAAAAAACAAATATATATATATGTATATAATTGTGCTTACACAGATATTTATTATTTGTATACCATTCTTACAGATAATTTTTTTTAACAGGCCACATACCTCTTTATACATTAATTCTTTCTACCCAAAGGTTGTCTGGAAGAGATTGCTTAGCAATAAGACCGCCTTTTGTACTACAACCTTTTACTTTTTATATACTTATCGAAAAATTTTCAACAAATCCTTCAATGTTGGTACATCAAAATAGTGCATTAATTTTACATTAGTGTATTAAAAGTGTTTATTATTATATTTAAAGTGTTAAATAAATACAATAAATATAGATAACGGATAATACCCATGTTTAGTGCAAAGAAGAAAGCAGGTACTTATATTAATTCATAATAATCAGAAAGATCAAGTGCCATCTAAGAGAGAAGTCAAGTTTCCGAAATCTGTCTGCTGTCGAGTTAGTATAGATAGTTTTTAGTACATTTTCGACCATATTTCTTTGGAGAAATGTTCAGTTTCTCTAGTAGATCACTCTTTTCAAAGCATATTAATGATTTAGATTTCATTTTGTATAATAGTTGTGAGGGTTAAGGATTATTTTATGACTGATATCGGTATACGTTAGCGGGACACGAGTGTAGAATGATAGGTGAGGATGAAAGGAGGTCAGTTGGCCCATCATGACGAATTCATCAAAAATTAACCACACGTTAGTTTCTAGCGGGGAACACGTGGAGATTGAGCTAATAAATTATTGCAAGCAGCGGGGCTGCTAGTACCCATTACAAACAATTCCTTTTCTTGAGTGAGGGTTTTTTTAATTGATGAGAATAGAATGGAATCGCGAATCGATATCGGTGTACGCTGGTGGGGAACCAGTGAATGATGGTAGGTGAGGATAAAAGCAAGTCAGTTGGGCCATGCTGACTAATTTAATTTGCTAGCTATGGGGCTATATGACTTTATTACCAAGGGACCCCCCCAGGAGGTAACCAATAGGCACCCCACGCTCATGGTGTTGTAGGGCATCATAAACTTTTAGTAATCACTTACCGTTACAGATCTGTATGCTCCGTTTACCACCTGTAAAATAAAAACAGAAAATTAATAATTATAATGAAACAATAAAAAGGGGTCGAGATATATCCAGGGAGAACATATCCTAATTATAATATCATCATTTTACCCATTACCAGACCATTGCTGATCAGATTTCCATAAGGAACGAATCTGAGTCACCTGCACTTACTGATTATATATATATATATATATATATATATATATATATATATATATATATATATATATATATATATATATATATATATATATATATATATATATTACAACACATACACGAACTGAAGAAACAGTGGATTTATTAAACGCTTATGTTACATTTATAATGGAGTTATTTTGATGTTCGTAATATCGAACTGATTTACAGAACACTAACTTTGGGAATAATAAAGTTAACTCATGTATATGTAACTAGATTGCTCCTAAAGATTTCTGTGTTCCTATCAAACAGTACAAATGTTAATAACAAAATAAAACAAAATTAAAAAATTTGCTGTTGCGATAAGAATTACTGGACCCGGAAAATAAATTATACGTTCAAGCCTATCAAATAAGCCCTTTATGTTTCAAGGGTGAGACGGCGTCAGTATCTGCCGATAGCGTTCTTTGGGCCAATGCCAGTTACTTGCGAGGTAAAAGTCAGATGACCTTCGATTTATTTCAACAAACAATAAGAATATTGTAGTTTGTTCTCTCTTGACTATGACCGTGTATCCGTATTTTTAAAAGCTGGTTCCAATTGTAACAATTTATATACGTTATAATTGTTTGGCTTCAATTCTACTATTTGCAGAATTTCTTTTATCGTTTATGTATTTTATCGTTCCCAAAAACTTACTTAGTTCGTTAAAAAACCAACAGGAATCAGCAGAAGGATCAAAGAGACCTACCTTCTGAAACATCAGTAAGTGAATGTAATGTGTGTAATGGGCCACAGTTCAAAGAATCGATAATCGATGGGGTAGGAAGTTACTTCTATGGCGATTCCATATATGCAATTGTAATCTCATTTAATCTCGTAGAAATGTACAAAACCTTTTCTTAGCTTCGTGAGAAACCTATTAACAGATGAAAGAACTAGAATAGTGGATATTATATTCCGAAAGGTCAGCAAACTGATAATTGCAATGTGACACTCAAATATATAGAAGACCCGAGGGGGAAAAAGATTTGCGTGTAGCGATCCGTATACACGCTTTGATGGAGAGACGACTTCAAATGTGTTGCAGGAAGTTTTTTTTTTAATGGACGGTAATGGAATAGTGAGCCCGCCTGCGCTATCGGTATACACTGGCGGGGCACCAGTGAGGGATGATAGGTAAGGATGACGCAGGCCAGTTAGCTCATCGTGACAAATTCACTAATGAATCAATCACGATAGTTTCCAGAGGGAACCGCGAGGAAGTCGACCTTCCTTTTTAAAAGGCCGGCAGCACACCTGCAATACCTTTGGTGTTGTGGGTTATCATGGGCGGCGGTAGTCACTTACCACCAGGTGAGCCCCATGCTCGATTTCCCCTTGTTGTAAAAAAAATATATTGCTAGTAATAGGATTACTAACCCCCATTTCTAACAATCCCTTTTTCCCCTGTTGCAGGAAGTTGATGGATGTAGCTCGGTTCCACTGCTAGTGGCTGTTTATGGCAAAGTTTCTGTCGAGTAGTGACAAGGATGAATTACTGTGGAACAGTTCAAATTGTATCCAGTGACGTATGTTTCTGACTACATAATACATAACTAGCATTCTCCTATTAAAATTGTCTATTAGAATCACGACAGTACGTCAGTACAGTAGTAAATGTGCCTACCGTCCCATACTTTTATCGACATTCAGATCTTTATAGACCATTGAATAAAAATAACTATTGCTGATAACGGTTATTGACAGTTCTGATTTACTTTTGATGTGGGTATCTAGAAACGAATCTTTAGGTTTCAATTTGTACGACAGGTCGCTTATGGGGTAAGCGGCGAGTATCACTCCTTACTGCGTAAGCAACCTGTTGTATTACTTACTCAGTACTTGAGTGAGTACAGAGTACCATAATCGTTTGTTAATTTTTTATTATAGTGTAACAGTTATTTTTCTTATATCTTTTTTAATTAGTTTAGCTGACTGATACGGAATTTGTGTTAAATCTGTATACAAAATTTAGTTTTTCAGGAATATTTGCCATAGAGATTAAAAATAACCATTCCATTGCTTATAAAATCAGCTATTCTTAGAACTGGTATTTGTCTATTTGTAGTTTGTTACGTTACGTTACGTCACCATGCTTAATTAATTATCTTTTACTTATTAAGAGACGTACGATTCGGTAAACTTAGTTCTGATTTACACGACACGAAATGAACACTGATAAATATTATAACAAAAAAAATCTTATACCTTTCAAATCTACGAAGTCACAAAAAACTAAATTAATAAAATTTTCGATAATTTATTTTCCAAATAAAAGAGGACGCGAAAGTTTAAGAGTTCGTACATTTTGAACAGGAAAACTTAGTAACTTCTGGGTGCACTGCTATTAAATGGAGAATCTGGTATCAGAATCGGCTTTTATAGGGAAAAATTTTAACAGACTTTGTTTCCACCTTGTTAAGATTAAATGGCAAAACCAGTAATATAAAGATATTTGGTAAGTCCTTTGCTCTCAGATTTACGGAAAAAAGTAACAATTTCAAAAGAAATATACCATCAATCAAACTGCTTTAGACAAAGGAGCGCTTGAATTATCCTGCAAAAGGATTTTTGGCTGCCAAAATGGTAAAGCATTGTATTTCTATATAATGAGTGAGGCCCATATATTTGGCATCGGTTCAATGTACTTTCATTCACATTTCGCGAGTCAATGACACGCTACACGCATCTGACGATACTATGAGATGTCCACTCGGACTAAGTATATTGTATTTGAATAGTGTTTTTTTTCTCATTTTGGAAAATAACAAAAAAAAAAGTGACGGAAAAAATATAAGTATACTTACAATTCGCCTGTAGTACTCACTACCTGCCTCTTCTATTCTGTGTGCACAAACACGCGCTAATTTCAAATATCATTTACCTATAGGTTGTTTGGAAGAGACTGCTTAGCAATAAGGCCGCCTTTTGTATCACATCAAATTAAAATTTATTCTATTTATAAATGATACAATAAAGTGTAAAATAAATAAAATAAATAAGTTATTTTTTAAGTAATATTACCTACTCTAATGGGAGACAGGCGTGACAGATATGTATGTATGTATGTATTTTTTAAGTAATCATTAAATAATGAAATATGTAGTAAACTTCATTATCGTCTTATTTGGTAAATTAATAATTGCGATTTCACCCACGCAAATCTGTTGCTGTCTGCTATGATTGGTTAATGTCATCATACTATAAAAGACATATTACATTAACGAAGTAAATATTGTAACTGATGTCTTTCTTAGTTAGTCTTAATATAGTATGTCACATTTTAAGCATCTAATACCAACAATTTAGATTGTACATCGACAGATAAGTTAGTTTGGTGATCAGCCAAGCTAAATTTTTAAATTGTCGTGTGGTCCCAGTATATAATGGGCGGGGGGAAGGGATTGTTAGTAATGGGGAAGTTAGTTCACATTGCTATCAATACACCCTATTAGGTCAACCTCCACGCAGTTCCCTCTGGAAACTATCGTGACTAATTTATCGTTGAATTGGTCACGATGGACTAACTAACCTCTTTTCATCCTCTTCTATGACCTCTCACTGGTATACCAATAGAGAAGGCGGGGTCACCAGGCCATTTTTACCCATTAAAAAATTATATAACGGGCCATCTCTGTCTTTTTCATGGGTGTAGTAGGAGGCGATTAAGGGAACTTAATGATCGAAAGATAGGCAGTAGCGTATCTCTCAAAATATCACCAAAGCCCAACTGCGTTTGTCAACCCGCCTGCCAATCGTGGCAACTTCTGGCACAGCTCTCCAATGGGGGGGTAATATATTCAGCAGTGGACAGTTAACGGCAGACAATATTGACGCTGATGATAATGAAATCTTTAGATAGATTAATTAGACAAATACTAGGTCAATTAACGTACCAATCAGAGCGGGGAATCACATTAATAAACACGCTATAAAAATAGTAGTTCACATAAAATTATAATTGATAGTTAGTTACAATGCCAAAACAAACTTACACTTTTTAAACAACGAAAGATCAAGTGGGTCAGTAAAAGTTTAATAGCACTTTTTCTTAAATATAAACAATGGCCAATTGAATGTAATTTGAAAATACCAATTGGTTAATTCAGTTGTAGCAACAGAAGAAAGTGGTCTCGATTATTTGAAGTATGAATGAGGAGTGCATTTGCTGAATTCAATTATGAATTTTATGATTAAAGCAATAAGACTAAAAATAATCAACTATATAAAAAATATGTAGATAGAGATTAATGATAAATGTAACAGTCATTAAAGTTTCATCAAAAATCACGCGGAACGCGGTCCGGAATAATTTATCAGTGAGTTAAATGCAGAAAGTTTAATATGCTTGTGAATCACGCAAAGCTACAATTCATTAGAGTACTCATATATCATATCCAAGGAAGAAATGTGTAATACATCACTGGTAAGGCGGTTTTATATTTAATTTGACCTAGTAACAGACAGAGTGGATGGATTTGAGGAATCTTCTGAGAAAAGAATAGAATTAGCATGGAAATATTTAATAATACAATATAAGTATTTTATACATTCGATCTTTTTATATAGCAACCTGTTCACATTTATTTCACATACACAACAAAACTCATTGTTTTAGCTATTACTGATGCTTAGTTATTTTTGGAGACATTACTTTGATTTATAACTACAGGCTTCTAATCCCAGTTTCGTACGAATTTTCAAACATTTTATTTAATAAAAACCTTGTAAATACAACAAAAAACAATTAATCCAATAGGTGCAGCCGCTCTGAAATAAAGCACTTACATAAATAAATTTCAAAATTTATTTTTATTTATAT